AAATGAGATTGGGTGGAAGTGTCTTAAAAATTTGTTTTTTTTCTCCTGGGAAAAAAAGTCAATGGGAAAAAAATCTAATGGTAGGAGAAAGGTGAAAGGAAGGGTAAATTATTTGCAATTTCCAAACAGATTCACTGACTGAGAGGAAATGAGGCATGTGGGCATTACCTTTCCTGAGAAGGCTGTTTTCACTAGAACCAGTAGGGGGAAATTAAAAAAAAAAAAAAAAAAAGGGTAAAAAAAAAAGAGACAGCAGTTTAATGATTTTCTGGACCATCCCTACCTTTTGTCAACCTAACTAGCGTTAAAAATGTGTAGTGATCATTGTTGAGATGTTATCAAGTAATAACCCATCCCTTCTTTGGTGCAGTTCTCTGCGTTTCCCCCAGCCCCGTATTTTTAGAACGAGAGGGGAAAGATTTAATCTCCAAAGGGGACAGGAAATGGAAACCCATCAGTCCCAGACGCCTGTCTGTGCTTGTCTTTGGGGCAGCAGGTAAAGTCTCCTATCATCCAGCCCAGAAGGATTAAAATCATGAGAGCAAGGCATGGCTTCCTAAACCTAGGAGAACCTTGGGGCTCCCCTGCTCTGGATGGGGGGGTCCCCCACCTTGAACCACAAAAGGCAAATTCTTCTTCCAAGACAAACTGACGCCTCGAGGCTCAGAGACTGATGATGTCCTCTGTCCGGCCCCTGCATTTGGTTCCAAAGCCACATTTTAGGACTTGAAAAACTTTTTAAATGGCCACAGCCTTCCTGAGCAGCTCGTAGGGATGAGGGATGTAAAGAATGAAGTTGTAGCGAGCTGACAAGGCCTGGCGCTTTTTCTGGCCTCCAGTGCTCTCTCCCCAGCATCTTTTGTCTGCCTGGGCTCCTAGGACGTGAACAATTGAGCCTTGCAGACAAGCCCTCGCCAAGGACCAGAAATCAAAGCAGATTAAACGGCCTGCCTCTGGTTCCAACCCGGCCTGGGCCCCAGCCCCCTGCCTGTCCACCTGCCTGGGGAAGCCAGATGGGTGTCCACTCAGACGGCGGAGAGAGTGGGCCTGGGGGGAGGGGATCCTGCCATCTCTTCTGGATGTGGGCGCGATATTCCACGGGAGCTTAGGGTTCAAATTCATTTACCCCCTCCACACCCCCCCTCTGCCCATCATCCCCGCCCCCTGCTGGGGAGGCAGGGGGCAGGGCTCCTCACAGAATGAGGGGCCCCAGCCCACTGCGTTGTGGGATCCGGATTCCTGAGGGGAGGGGTGGCTGAAGGCTTTAGAAATCCCAGTCTGACTCTGGCCTTCAGGAATTGCCTGGAAAGTCACGGGCCAGACTTCTCTTTCTAGATTTTTCCCTTTTTATCCCACACTTCCTAGTCTGCTCGTCAACTGGCCCATTCCTCGGCTCCGGCCAAAGAACAGTTGGCCAGAGCCCCAGGCAGCACATGACCCAGACTCTGAGATGGCCGCTCACACCCGATGGCACCTTCACCGCAGAATGACCTCCTCCGGCCCGGGGCTGGCCTGGCCCCTCCCCAGGCCAGGAAAGGGATGTTGGGCGGACAACCGAGAAGAGGGTCTACAAACGAGACCCCATCTCTGGAGATCTGGGCCTCGCCGGGGGCAAGCCCACCGCCTGAAGGTGGGCACTCTCTCCCCTTTTGTGCCCCTGGCCAATGAATGTGGCCAACGTGGGCCCTGGGAATCCATCGGACAGAGTCCCTCAACGTCAGGGCTGCTAAAAAGGCCAGCCACGCACATGGGGGCTAAGACTTTGACTCATGTCTGTGATTCCATGCAGACCAAGGCCAGGGAGCAAGACCAAGAAAGGCAGGGATCCTGGACCCAAGGCGTATCTTCAGGGTCCAAGCACAGCAACACGTCTTTGGGGCAAGAAAGTCATCTTTGTGGCAAAACCCGAGAAGACACGATTTGTCCATCCCATGGACTATGACTCAGCCATGAAAAGGAATGAAGCACTGGCACCTGCCACAGCACAGATGAAGTTTAGAGTCATCATGCAGAGGGAAAGCAGCCAGACAGGAAAGGCCTCGTTGTACGGTTCCATTTATAAGAAATGTCCAGAACAGACGAATCCACAGACACAGAAAACAGATTAGTGAAGGGCAGGGGCTGGGGAATGAGGAGGGGCTGCTAAGGGGGACGAGGCTTCTTCTGGGGGGATGAATGTCCTGGGACTAGACAGAGGTGACAGCTGCACAACGCTGTGAATGTGCCAGATGTCACTGGACTGCACACTTCTTTTTTTTTTTAAAGATTTTATTTATTTATTTTTAGAGAAGAGAAGGGAGGGACACATCACTGTGTGGTTGCATCTCGTGCGCCCCCCCGCCAGGGACCTGGCCCACAACCCAGGCCTGTGCCCCGCCTGCGAATCGAGACAGCGACCCTCTGGTTCGCAGGCCGGCGCTCAATCCACTGAGCCACACCAGCCAGGGCCGAACTGTGCACTTTAAATGGTGAAATTCATTGTACGTGAATTCTCTCAATAAGAAAAGAAATAAAAGAAGAGAAATATTTGAATAACTCTAAGAAAAAAGAAGAGGAATGCGCCTTTTTGCCCCAGTTTCCCAGGCACCCTCTGACCTGTCCTAAATGCCTGGGGACACTTGGTCAAGTTCCAGCATAGGAAAGAGGGTGGCAAGTTTCAAGCAGCCAGCGCTTTTCCGGGGACACTCATGGAGAGAAGCAGAGGACACACATCAGGTCCTGGGGGTGAGGGTGCGGGGACCTCACATCTGAGAAACCATCACCATCAATGACAAGGGGAGCTAGGGACCCCGCAGTGGGCACCGCGATGGAGCTCAGGCAGCCCCTGGGGGACCCAGAGACACCAGCTTCCCCTAAGGCTCTGCGTCACATTTGAGGTCGCTGGAGGCTCTCAGCCAAGACCTGACCTTTGTTCCCAAGGCCCAGCCCCCCTGCAAACCACAGCGGCCACCACCACAAAATCCCCCCTGCTCCCTCCAATCCCATCTCCGCGTGAGGAGGAGGAAGAGGCCAGTGCCCAACATGTCATGGTGCTTTCTCAAGAGACACTTCCTCTTCGGCAAGGGGGTTTTGGCTGCCACCAGCCTGGAGATGAACAGAAAACTCCCAGGGCTCGGGGAGGGGCTCCTGTTGTCACTCCCAGCCCCGAAGAACCAGGACCAAGGCCCGGCCTGAGGCAGGCATCAGGAGGGATCGGGCACTGCGGGGGACTCCGGAGTGACTTGTCCACATGCCCGATCGCAGAGAGCTCAGAGGCCGGGCACGCCCACCCGGAGAGAAGGAAGCCAACTTACCCGTGTTCTATCCTCGATCTCATAGATCCGCAGCTGCATGGGCACGTTAAAGCTGTGTAGGATGTTTCCGCCGAATACCAGAGAGTCTACCGGCGTGTAGACGGCATGGATCCAGCCTGAGGCGGGGAGGGAGAGGCAAGGTCAGCCATCGGCCCCACCTACACCCGGGTGCAGGGGAGGGCAGGAAGCCCAGGTGAGCACCCAGGGCCAGGGCAGAGGATGCTCGGGGCTGCTGGATGCAGAAACCCAAGGCTCTGGCTGGCCTGGAGGACCCGGGCCTGCAGCCGGCTGGACCACAGCAGGCAGCGACGCAGACTACTAGCTCAGGCTGGGTGGTGGGCAGCGGCAGACCAGCCCCCACCTGTCGAGGATCTTGATGACAAAGGCTTCTTTGTGTTGTTTCAGACCTGGCTGTGGCAGCGGACAGAGAACGCAGGCCGTCTCCTCCCATGCTGGCCAGGGAGCCGGAAAACCCTCGCTCAGGCCACTCAGGTGTCCTGGAGCCTTTTCCTGGACATCCCAGGGACCGCCAGTCTCAGGAGGGGTCACAAAGGGTTGCTGGGGGGCACAACTAAAAAGTGACATTTTGCCAGGACTGCAGGACCCAGACACTCTTCTCTGCCCCATTCCACCTTCTGCCATCAAAATCCTCAAAGGCCCATTTTCAGGCATCTCCTTAGCCCCGCGACACTTGTACCCGCACAGCAGTTCTATCTTTCGGGCCGTGAGCTGCTGACACGTCTCTCTTGTGCCACCTGCAGCTTCTTAGCAGCCTGGGGCACCTTGGGGCTTTTTCATCTCCCTGGACGCCTAGCCCAAAGCCTGGCACAAAGACATGAGAGTGACTGACGACCGAGTGCTCCCGCAGGCCAGGCGCTGGTCTAAGGGCTAAACAGGCTTTAACTCATTTAATTCTCACAAAATTCCGAAAAAGTGTATGTTACATTCATCCACAATTTACAGAGGAGGAGACTAAGGCAGAGAAAAATAAAGTCACTTATAAGGACAGGAAGTCTGCCCCCGCTGGTCCCTAAAAAGCCAGGGACAAAGCAGGACACTTCATTCATTCCTTCGGTGACTCTGGGGGCTGGCCGGACTTCAAGTGCTCACTCACTACAGCAGCAGGTGGCTCCTGGCCGCTGCAAGGGACTGCACAGAGCCAGGCAACAGGGGATCTCATGATCCGCTCCCATTTCCGGATGCTGACACTGAGGCTGAGAGCAGCTAAGTCAATCGCTGAATGAAGCCACAGCCGGTGAGTGACAGCACCTCCGTTTTTAGCCGCTACGCTGCACTGTTACTGCGTCAAAGGCTTCGTGTGGGCCTGCGGGTCCCTGGGGGCAAGCCTGCCAACACGCAGGGAGGGAAATGCAGAGAGAAACAAGAAAAAAAGGACAGACAGAGGCGGAAGCAGAGGATGGGCAGAGGGGACAGGGGACAGGCAGGGACAAGCCAGGATCCCGAGCCAGGATCCCGAGCCAGGTGCCGCGGTCCCTTCTCCTCCCACCCACCGAGCTGTTCCAGACTCTTCCCTCCCATGAGCTGACACACGCCTGCCGGAGGCACAGGCGGCCACAGGCAGTCACAGCTGCTGGAGCAAAGCTGCCACTGGAAGAGAGCTCAGAGGCTGCGCGGCCACTGCTGGCATCTGGGCCAGGGCCCTCCCCTGCCTGGGGCCTGGGCGGAGGGCAGAGAGAGAGCGCCAGCCAAGAGCTCAGGAATGAAGGCTTTTATGTAACTGGCTGTGCTGTTAGTCTCCGCGCCACGGCGCCACGAGCGAGACAGAGGGAGCAGCTCGGCCGCAGGGGTGCCCTTGCCACGTCGCCTGCGCCTCCGCCCCCACCGTCTTTACCCCCTCTTTGCGGATACCTTTAAAGTCTCGGTTTCCAGGTCTGCTTCAGCCTCTCTGCCTCAGCTGTGTACCACCTGATTTTCTCAACATTTTTGTCTCTACCAAGAGGAGCACTATTATCACTGCCGTTGTTACCGCCGTCTGCGGTATCTAAGTGACATCTACAACGGGGCCTAGGACCACACCGGGTTTCCGCGGATGCACATGGCAGGGTGAAGCCTGAACAGGGACGAGGACTCCTGGGTCGTTTCTAGGCACCTCGTGTGCCCACCAACCGCCCTACAGAAAGGCCAAGTCGGGACGCACGAGTTGGAGACCGTCTCCAGCGCTGACTCATCCTGCGGCGTGCGGCACTGGACCGCCCCTCTCGTGGCCGCTGCCTCCCGTGTGGGCAACTTGGTGAGCAAGAGCTCGTTCCATGTGAGCCACCGCCACTGAGGTCCACGTGGCCGCATCCGCGGCAGGGCTTTGGAAAGCACGGTGCCACGTGAATCGCACTGACCAGCCCCCGCCTCTCCCTCCTCTCCTGGCAGGTAGAAACGCAGACACACCTGACTTACATCTGTTACCCTGACGTGTGCGCAGAGGGCGACAGAAGAGAGGTGCTGCTGCAGGTAGGGAAACAGGAACCTGTGCTCCCAGTAACGTGCCTGTGTGGGGGTTCTGAAAGCTTCTTCCCTCTCTCCTTTCCTCCCCCAGCCAGGGCTGAAAGGGGGGGTCAGGCTGCCTCCCCTGGATTAGAGTTGCTGCCAAGTCCCTCCCCGCCGCCCTCCCCGCGCCTGCTTTGCTACTTAAACGAGTCCCTCCAGGAGAGCCAGCGAGGGGAAATAACATTGTTCATGAGCCCCGTCCACACCCACCCTCCCGACGGCGCCTCGCTGGACGCGCCCCAGGGAGCAGGAGAGAGCAGGTGCCCCGAACTGATGGCTGGGCTGGGCCGGCTGCATCTGCCTCCGGCTCCCAGGACAGGGTCACCGACAACATAAAGGTAGTAACAGAGGCTATTCAGGCCAAGCGTCAAGGGACAGATCCAGTCATGGAAGGAAAGCAGGCGACCCACAAAACCTACTGACGGACGTTCTCTGGGACCAGAGGGAGCCCGAAAGAACAGGAGGGGCATGTGGCGTCTCACCCACAAGCTAGACGCTCAGCATCCGGAATCCAAAGCCCCCACCCGCCCACATGTGTCTATCTCTGCAGTGGCTGCGGGGGTAAAACCCAAGGTCACAGAATTCGGGGGCGCCTCTCCCCATGCGGTGCCAGGCCCGCGTTTGCCACGAGGAAGCATGGAGGGCCTCTCCCCTCCCTGGGAGCTGGGAGCTGGCGATGGGGCCCAAGCGGGCCGGCCACGGGCTGCAGCGGGGCCCGGAGCCATGTTTGGTCTGACCCACCCGTGTTACAAAAACAAGGAAAATTCACAGGGCAAGCTGACTTCCTTCCTTCCTGAGAAAAGTGAGAAGACGGGCCCACCAGGCCCCATCCCCCGGCTGCCCTACCTGGCTGGAACTGCGCCGCTCGTCACAGCTCCACCGCCCTCTGCCTTCCCTCCAGCCGGCCTCGCTGCCACGCTGCCCCCACCCCACACCCATTCTACAGACGGCTCATCTGAGGTCCGAGCCAACGTACGCTAGTCAGTAGCTACCGGTTACAGTTTCTCAGACTTGCCCAAGCTTAAGGGACACCTGGAGCTACGGTGAATTTTGGGTCTTGGGTATGAAGAAAGAATGGGAAATACTTTCAGGCCAGCCCGAGTCCCTGACCGCAGGGTCCTTCTGAGGCCCCCAGTCTGGGCCCCACATCCTCGCTGCTCCCTGGCGACAGGGGAGCTCAGAACAGAGGGAGTCTGTCTCAGCCTCCCCAGCACCTTCCAGGCTGCCACACAGACCCTTAGGAAAGGCTGTTACATGAACAAATAATTCTCCCAAAGTTGTACAGCAAAGGGGGCCACATCTCAAATCTGCTGGCCCCCAGGCGAACGCGGAACCAGGTGGGTGCCGAAGCGACACACACACGGGTTCTCACCCGCCCTGTCACTCATTAACTGTGTGACCTTGGGCTAGTTTGCTTGCCTCTCTGGGCCTCTGGAACCTTATTACAAAAGGGGGTGGGGAATGTTTTTTCTTGCTTACAGAGAAGATTAAAAACACAAAACATTTGCTGTTTGGTAATACCAGTTATTCTTACTATTAACTCTAGTTCACCTGGGCAGGCGCAGCCGGGGGGAGGCCGAGCCTACGAAAGAAGATGGTGTAAACTTTCATCAGCTCAACACCATCCAAGTTAAAGCCCTCTCTTCTGAAGTTACGCACTTCCAGCATTTTCCGTATCAGAACAGCCTTCCTTTCATGAAACGCCGGCATAAGTGGATTCGGATTTTTTGTCATGTTTTCCATTAACGTCCACCTCTAGCAGCCTTGTAACAGCTCCCAACCTTTTTTTTTTTTTTTTAATTTCATTGGTCCATGAAATCAATGCCTGGGAACCCCATGTGCCCCCTGCCTCTGAGGTGATCACAAATTCCAACTGTCCCTTTTTTTTAACTTCCCTAAAATCCAGAAAAAGTCCTGTGTCTCACTCAGGACCCTTAGGGACAGAAGTCTTTGCCTGCTTGCGGCAGGCGAAGCCCACGTCCCACCTTCCACAGGTGCACCCACGCTGTGGCTCCGATGCACCTTCTCTGGACCTTTCTCAGCTTGCTGGAGTCACAAAACTCACCCGCTCCCATCCCTGCCTTGGGGAAAGCGAGGAGCCACCGCCCAGCTGTGCACAAGGCCCATCCCCCCGGGGACAGGAGGAGGCCTGCACCCAGGGGACAGGGTTAGGAAGGACCCTGAGGGTCTCAGGGTTCAGCCCCACCCTGCCCCTGCTGTGGAGCTGCCACAGTTGAGGGGCAGAGAGAAGAGCACAGCCCAAGGCCAGAGGCAGCAAGGCCGAGGGCATGTCAGAGTGCCCTTGAGTCCCCCAGGCCGATCGCCCCACACCCACAGAGTGTGCTGCCCACACTTGAGAAGGACACCTCCTCTTCCCGACTCTCGGCGCCATGTCCTCTGGGGGTTCACACCATAGACACTGCCTACCGGCCCCATCCCTTCCCGTCCTGAGCAAGGGGAACTTCCCTCCCTGAGCCAAACAGGTCCAAGGACGGACTTAGGGCCATGGTAACAAAGTTGCTCCACTAAACCCCGCCACCTCAAACCCCCAACTTCCCTAATAGGGAAGTCTCCACCTTCCGCCCCGACTTTCTAGAAGAGCCCGGGTGTGCAGGCCCCATCCCCATGGTGGGAACTGCTACCACATCCACCTCCACTTCACCTGACACCATACACTGGTGCTTGATGTCCAGACCCAAGGCCAGCTTCCAGCTCAAGTCTCACAAACTTAAGTGTTACCCAGCTTCTCCATCCAATAGATCTTAGTGGCCAACTACCCTAAGTTCCAATCATCTATTTAGTGGCAAGTGCCCTGCAGTCTCCTTGGCCCAACCATATATACCTTCTACTTGTATACCTCCAGAGACGGGCAGCTCACTACCTGAAAGAACAACTCATTCCAATACCATTTGATTATACCTGTCCATTCAGGAGGCGATCCTTCAATTGGCTGACTGCATTACCATATACCTTCACTTCCCTGGGCAAAAACAACCCAATTTCTCCTTTGGATTCACATCATCTGATGTGGAATCCAGACTCCTCTCTCTCCAGGTCAACTTACTCTCCAAAGTATAATCAAGAGGAACACAACCTCCTACAGAGTGGGACTGTCACCTCCATCATCCTGGGTAAAATGCTCCCATTCATGCAGCCTAAGACTGCACCCCCACCCTGACTCCTACCTAGGTCACCTGTCACATCCACCAGCGACTCAGCCTACACCTGGCCAAACGTCCTCAGCCCGTCTCCAAATAGCTATAGGGAGGTAGGGCTTCAGTCACTCGGCCCCATTTCACAGATAAGAACGCCGAGCCACAGAGAGATGAAGTCACTTCTGTGAAGTCACGGCTTGTAAACAGCAGAGCCGGAATTGGAACGGAGGCCGTCCAGGCTGGCTCCAGGGCCGGTGCACTTAATTACCACCTTCTGCTGTAGCTGTGGAGTTAATTTTGGTTTTGGCGTGGGGAGTCCAAGTGCAAGAGCTGACACGGATGCCAACTCCACTTCATCTTGTTCTGCAGGGAGGAGGCTGCCACCCTGGGTCCTACCCTTACAACCCAGGCTTGGGGGCGCCTCTGTACAACCCCCTGCCCCCAGCGTCTACCTCTCCCCAGGGCCTGCCTCTGAGAGTCCTCAGAGTAAACCTACCCCCTCTCCCCACAGGACCACGCTGTCCCCCAGAATCTCCGCGCAGGAAGTCCTGGGGAAGCAAACTTCCAAACTTCCCCAGAGGGAAAGCCCTCGGCATTCTCCCAGGAGAGAAGCCTGGCCTGCAGGCAGGGAGATACAGGTCAGATGTGAGAGGAAAAAGGGGCTGCTTGCCCCCCGCAGCCAGAAGCCTCTCCTCTCAGGGGCTGCCAATGGCCAGGAGGCCCAGAGAAACCCAGTTGCTGGGCCTGAAACCCAGGCTGAAGCTGCAGGGACGCAGGGACACGCGAGCTCAGCGCCAGCCTCACTGGAACCTACCGGAAGGGATGAAAAACGTGTAGCCCTGTTTCAGCTCAATTCTTTGGCAGCGCTCCACGCGGTCTCCCAGGAAGATGTCACTCTGTTTGCCTGACAGCACCCACTCCTCGTACAGCGCCAAGTTGTGCAGGGTTGGCGGAATCAGCCAAAAGATCTTGGGAGGAAAAGAAGGCAGTCAGCTGAAGATCCAGGCCAAGTCTCTGATTTCCTCCAGGCTCCGCCACAGCCAAGGAGACAGCCCCACCTGCCTGGGAGGGAGGAGGATGGGGGGCTGTCCCCTGGCATCCCTCCAGGACTGGGCCCAAAGGGTCTCTGCGGTGGCAGGGAGGGCTGCGCCGCCCTTCTGGGATGTCCTGAACGCGCCTTCAGGGAACCTCTGTTCCCCGTGAAACACCAGGGTGAGAAGACTTCCTGGACTCAGTGGAACATTCTTTCTCCTGAGCCACCTCGTCAGAAAGGGGGGGGGGGGGGGTGAGGGCAATTTCCGAAGATGTCTGATAAAAGGGCACAGAAAATAAACCCAGCTTACGCTCGCTCTGGAGAAGGAGGAAAAACATCTGGAAGCAAGTGGGATGACTTCCTAGCCAGAGCGCCTTGCAGCAAGTTCAATTACAACAAACTCACACATAGACCCGGACGAGCAGGGCAGCGCACACATACTCTCAGGGAGTGAACCACGTCCCTGCAGTAACGCCTATGTCCCCACGGGGACATTCACAGGCGCAAACACAGCAGGAACATCCTGAACGCACGCCCCACACGTCCTTTCTCTGGGTGACGTCTGTCCCTAATGTGACATGTTCTTGGAGGCAGGTGATGCTGGCAACTAGAGTTTTAAGTTAAACGGTCTCAGGCTACAGCTGAACGACAGCCGAGGGAAACGAATGCCGGAGACACTTGGGAGCAAACTGGAGTTCCAATCTGGCGAAAGTGCTTACTGGAGCCCCGGACTGGGTGAGGAAGTGTGAACGAGTAACCCGATGTGACACAAAAGAGGCGACCTTGAGCTTTCCCTCCAGAAGAAGATGAGAGTGAAGAGGTGGCCTCAGCCAGGGCCAGGAGGCCCTGAAAGTCCTCACAGAGCGGGCCAGCTGGGGAGGGGCAGAAGGAAGGGGAGAGGTGAGCGAGCCCCGCCACGCACAGACGGCTGGACATGGACACAGAGTTGAAGGGATTCGACCCGACTCACCTTCCCACCCCGGAAAACATGGTACCAAACAGAAGTGCCTCCAAAGTCGATGTGGAAGTCAGTGAAACAACCCTTCACGCTCATCAGACAGTACCTGCAGCACAGAAGCAGGGGAAGCAGAAAAACAATTCAACGCCTGAACCACAGGAGGGGAGAAAACAGCTTCCGAGACACCTGACCTGCTGCCCTTTTATAAAGGCTGACACGGGGGAATTTTCTTTTCTTCTCTTTTTTGTCATACCCAAGTTGAATCGGAGTTCCCCGTGGGGGAAGCCCCTGTGATCAGGTGACCCGTCTCCAGCATCGGCCACCCACCCCCAGGGCTGGGGGAGGCGCTTTTGTTTTCAGGTTCCCATGAGACAGTTGGCAACCCAAAGGTCACTGGGGTTTGTCCTCCCAGGTTTCTACTCTTGCCTCACCCACGCTCCTACCCCAGGTCTTCCTTTCTGCTCCTTTGAAGCTCCTACACCTACAGCTCTCCCAAGCAGCCAGCTCCTGAGTAGCGGCTGGACCTCCCCACCCTGCCCCACCCCCACCCCGCGCCGCCCCGAATTCGGCTGTAAACCACCGGCAGAGTTCGCCGATTTCCAGTCCTGGCTCATCCCCACATTCACTCAACAGGCACGCACTGAGAGCCAACCAGTGCCCCAGCCCTGAGCTAGGCCCTGCACTTAGAGAGACGCAAAAGGCCCCTCTGCCCGTAAGGAGGGGACACTCCTGGAGCCCTGCACAGGCAAAGTTCAATGGCAAGGCCCACTGCAACTGACCGCAGAGTAGGCAAAGCAGCGGAAAGTTCAGGGGTACCCGCCACAAGAGGCCACACCACCTATGATTCCACGTATGCGAAATGTCCAGAGTGGGCAAGTCTACAGAGAGAGAGTAGATTAGTGGTGGCCAGAGACTAAAGGTAGCTCCCAAGTGTACAAGGTTCCAGGTAGGGTGATAAAAAAAAGGTCCCCAAACTGATTGTGGGTGCACAACTCCACAACAGAACTGAAAACCACTGAACTGTACACTTTAAATGGATAAATGTCATGTGGATTATGTCTCCATAAAGCTGTTTTTAAGAAAAAGTGAAGGGATCCAGAGAAGACCCTGGTCGGGTTGGGGGGTGGACAGGCACCGGGCGGGGAAGGAGGGAGAGCCCACCCACCAGCCCGCACAGGGCAAGGCTTCAGAGGCTTGGGCTGGGGACCTGCTGGCGGAGAAGGGACCAGTCTGCAGCCCCTCCTGCGAGCTTCCTTACAGGAACTCGTCAGTCTCCTCCCTCCTCCCTGAACCTGCTGCCCTCCCGCAGGGAGGCAGCGCTTGAGGAGGAGGGAGAGCAGAGCAGGCTTTCACGTCCAGGCCTGGCAGACAGGAGTGGCAGGGTCCCCTCCCTCCCTCCTGTCCCTTCCCACAAGAGCCACTGGAGGCGCGGACGGGGCGGCCTCCCGGGGGCTCATGCATCTTGGCACCTCCAGAGCCTCCCCCAACATGCTTAGCCCACTGACCTCTTTTCCCCGGAGCACTTTGCTTTTCCATGGTTTGGGCAAGAGGGGAGGAAGGGGGCAGGACCGGCCGGGAGGAGCCAGCAGGGAGCGAGCGAGGGGAAATGATGAAGGGCGGGGCGGGGCTGGGTGGGAGGATGGAGGGCTCCGAGGGCCCCCTCCCTCGGGGGCTGCCTTTTGCACCTCACATTCAGGTGGACCGGGCGCGCTTGGCAATATGCAG